CATAAAGATTTTCGCTGCAGCGACCGTATTATATATATATATAGGTACAAAAGGGTTAAGATGCGATTTTTACCGTGGAGTGCATAAACACAACACGTACTCTTCACAACACTGTCGTCGTCGTCGGATACTTAACGAAAAACCTCCGTTAAATAAAACCTGTGGTGACGACAATGGCTTCCCCTTTTCTGCAACTTTCCGCTTGCGTTAACACACTCGACTACCACCGTGTTTCTGCCCACCTATGTATACAACTACAAACGCTCGAGTTTCATCGTCATGACTCGAGAAGACAATTATACTACTTCTCCCACCCCCACCACAAATGTATTGCAACCGCTGATAAAAATAAAAGCTGCCAGTGCCACTTTTAGGGAAACGTGTATCTTTATCTTGTCACCGACGTCCTTCATCATATTCCTCTTAGGACGCGTAATTACAATAATATGCAATTATTGTCTGGCACGCATAAACGTTCAACTCGACGTTATTAGCGTACGACTGTGGTTGCAGTAAATAATATAATACAATTATATATATTTTGTGTTTATAAATGGACTCTAGTCATTGAATAGCCGACGAATAAGGTGAATAAAAATAATAACGAGAGTCAGATTTTTTTAACATAACGTTTTTGTCGAACACACGTTAAAACTGAATATTGATATGCCTATGTATGTAACATACTATGTATTACACGGGTTATTGTTTTTAATTTTCATATGTTTCGTATCAGGCGATAAATTGTATTTTATTGAAAAAACCTTAAACGATACTTTAATAACACCGTGCGCAAGACTTATATGACATCGATGCATTCATTACACACACGCACGTTATAATATGATGTATATCTGGATCGTGCGAAGATTTGTAGACCGGTCTACAGCCGCACTCGCACATCGAGACTTGCGTGTTGTACAATCGATACATCGATACCTCTTGGGTTTGAAGTGGAGGAAAAACGCGAAGGGGACTATTATCCGTACATCGTTTGGAGCGTTTAACGCAGTCGCTAATTAGTTGTAAATGTATACATGTGTGTGATGCGTAATTAATATTTGAAATTAATTAGTTGTTGTTTGTAAGAACCATCAGCTACCGTTGACCGCCACGCTATGGCGAAACGTGCGTGTAGTTAATAATCTAAATATTATATAAGATATCACTCAGTGATCTCAAAAACGACGTACCTAACGTATGAGTTGGACATTTGAGATAGTAGTTCATCAAATATTCCAGACGTGCAAACAGAAGGGATTTTCCGAAACTAACATTTTTGAGGGTCGTAACAGTTTAGGGCTGAATGAATATTTTTTCACTTTTTGAATACAAAACAATATACATTTTTATTTTAAGAGTTATCATACATGTATATGATAGTTAATGAATAATATTTTACGTGGGTGATTATTTTGACAACATTTTTTGATCGAAAAACTATAATCAGGGCTCATAACTTTTGGCATTTGCATATTTTTTTTTGAGAAATTCTTAGCGATGCATATTAGAGCTACAAATTTGTTTCAGATAACTACGAAGCTAAATACGAAATTTTATGTTGCATATTTCGAAATATAAGTGCTATTCCGTTTTTTTTAAGTCTTTTTAAGTTCCGTAGCCTTTAAAACATTTTTTCTCAAAAATAATAAGTATCTAACTAGGTTTTGTAAAATGCATTATTTATATTTGTAATTAATTCATGGTAATTAACTCAATCTTCTTTCAAATGATATAAGATATATTTTTATTTATATCGACTTGATTGATAAGTTTTTTTAAAGAGGAAAATTTTTGTTTTATACATAATATTAATTTTTTTTTGCATATTTTAGTATATTTAGTGCATGTTTAAGTGCTCATATGAAATTTTTTAGATCATATTGTAGCATTCATAACAAATTTTTTTAGAGCTTTAAGTTATGAGCCTTGATTATAACTATTCCGAATTCATTATACCGTTGGTGTAAACCGCTGATAACTTGCTCCCCTCCATCGTAGGCAGTAATGATAATAATAATGATAATAATAATAATAATAATAATAATAATAATAATAATAATAATAAT